GCTGAAGTTCGGGGCTCTGTTTGAAATACCTTACCATCAATATTAAGTCTTAAAGTAGTAATCCTCACTACTTCCAAGTAGCTCTGATTCTGTTATTTAAATTTGTTTTTCCTTTTCAGTAATTAGTTCAATGCACTATGAGGTGGGTGCAAAGAAGTCAATTCTAGCTAATTCTTCCTAATTGCCTCTGGATAGTACCGTCCTCTTACCTTCGACTGCACATCTTGCTTACCTAGTAGCTAGATATCACTCTGTCCCATCATCGCGTTTCCGTCGTAAGATCGAGTTGAATTTTTTCTAAACGAGTACAGACATGCATTGAACATACCGTTGGAGCGGCTACGCGGTTAACCCACATTTAACCTAGGTCCGGGAGGGGGGTTGAGGCAAATAAGGACATGTTTGCTGACTATAGCCAAAACAGCACCTTAAGAAACCCTTAGGACTGTCAGCAACCACGGTGGAATCGGATGACCAAAAATACAGGCTGCTAGCAGTTATTCGCTATCGCAATATCGTGTTTATCCATGACACCTGTTTGGTGTGATCTGCGATAAGCCGATGACAGTTGTGCAAACATCGGCGGCTTTGTTTAACCAGGCACTGACGAGTAACGGAAGTACGTGTATAAACGTGAATTGAAGCCAACCGTTGGCCGGTATTTTATTTCGAGGATTCCTTCACCGTTCTCCTCGTTGACTCATTCACCTCTGACAAATCAGCGCCCCTATTTTTGGCTGCAGAATAATGAATCACCAGTGTCTTTTTTCGTGCCTTCAACGTCTGCTGATAAAACATAGGCCGAGGTTGCCCAGTTGGTAGAGCATTGGACTTATAACCGAGAGGGTCTTGGTTCAAGGCCCAGTCGCATAATTCGTTTCGTCCACCTTCTTCCCGATGTTGATAAATGAGTATCATTTGTGAGAAGGAAATGGAAGCCTATGCTGTGCTGTAGAATGTGTCATTACAAGGCACTCATGGTTGGTAGCGTAGAAGTGGGAATCAACGCTGCTCTATTATCTTCATGAAATGAATGGTCTTATCCTGAGAGTGTGAGGAAGACCTGCATTACAGATTTTTCTTTTTCCTTGATAAAGCGTGGACAACGGCTTATCATAGTTCAGATTTCGCCTGAAATGCAAATTTTATTCTATGTTAACTTTATGAACTAGTTTATGCTTCTTAATGTTATCTTGGGTATGAGGATGTGTAGTTAATATAGACGATGGCCGCGATTCGTTTCGGAGACAAATCTCCCTCAACCGCATGAACAAGTTTGTTGGCCTCTGTTATACCTCATAGGTTCATTAGGCAGCAGTTTCTTCATTTGAGAATATTCTTGGTGGCAATCTCAGCACTAATGCAAGCTGAACTTGCAGTAATGAGTGCCATTCAGATCTCTTAGTTTTTGTGATTATGAGGTAAAAATACCAATGATGTTTCGAGTTACTAACAAAACTTCATAAGTTACTTTTACGTCTCATCGATCAAAATCACATTCGTACAGCTGTGGATCAGTGATAAGGGTCCTGCGTCGCATCCCGAAAAGGTAAAATTCGAAACCGCTAATACCCTTGAATTAACTCCACATTATCAGCTGTTAAACGAGTAATACGTTGTGACTTACGAACAACACGGCGAACGTAGAGTTTTGGAGTGATCATATCATCACGGGCGAGAAATGCGGCCACTCTGTCTGATCGAGCACCATTTACGATACAACTGATTTTGACACACCTCATAACTAGTTATCAAATATGAAAATCAGTAGGTGTAAACCATGTATTTTCTAGGTTTACACGGCGTTGGTAAATGAATGCCCGACAAGAAACTGCTGCATGTGGGTCTACAAAATGTTCATATCACTTTCTGATCAGCGGATAACAGACCTTTGGACAAATTTCTTTTGAGGAAAATGGAAGATGGGATTACCCTTGAAGAATTAACGTGGATTGGTTACCAAATCAACTGTTTCAGCTGTGACTGTCATTGTTTTACAATAACCTGGTACTTGAGTAAGATATGAAGGTAAATAAGTAGTTCAACGATTAATGGTTCAGGGCACCAAACAGTAGATGGCAAAACCTTTATTGCCAACGGGTTTCGTCACATACACCGTTGCATATACCTATATCGAAACGTGTTAACAATAAAGGTTTTATCATTTACTGTGCTGTTTGGTTCCCTGAACCATGAATCGTTCAATCACCTATTTATACAACTACGGGCCCTGAATCAGGAACCTGAAGTCTTAGGATATGACTTTATTTAAATTGTACGCTGCACAAAGGTTTCGTTGCAGGACCAGAGTTTTGACTAATGTTACCAGCTATTCTTAACTGCAAACAGTTTTGTACTAAGATTAAAATCTTTGAGGCCGTAATGTAATATAATTTGAATAGAGTGATATCCTACTCACCAGTAAACGAATGATGTAAAGTACTTACATGCATATTGCATGACCTCGTACAATTATGAATTATCGAACATAAAAGATGGAGAGGAATCGTAGTAACCGTCGGAATGTCGACCTTGCTTCACGTTCATGTCTGAGACACTTTGACGCCCTTCGTTTCTTGAAGTTGACGGTGCGGTTCTGATCTCTGTTTTTATGCCATCAGCCAGGAGTGCCTTATTTTTTTTTATAAAGACAGAGTCTGAAGCCATGTGGCAAGCGTAGCTCCTGTTTCCTTTCTCCACGGTGGTACTGATTTATCAACTTTGGAAGGAAGAAGGGCCTGTGACTCTGACCGCAGCTTGAACTCGGCACCTATTGATTCTGAGTTCGACTCCGCGCCGACTGAGCTACCATGGTCTGAAACAATATGCGGTAAATTCCTTTCTCAAGGGAATTCCTGAGTGAGATGATTGCTCTCGAGCAGGAATCGAATCCCTCATCTCCGCTGTTCAAAGCAGGCCTT